CACGCACACACACGCACACGCACACACAGATACACGCACGCACGCACACACACAGATACGCGCACGCACGCACTCACACGCGCACATCTGTCAGTTTCGCGCTACGCGCTCATCTCTTCCGCCGACTTCATCTTGCTCGCGTGAACGCCGTCGACGTAGTAAGGATTGCCCAGCAGGTGGCGCCTCTCATGCTGCGTCAGCTCGTCGTCGCCCTCACAATGGCGGCCGCAGTACCGGCATCTCTCCTCGCCCTCACCCTCGTCGCTACTGCTCGTGGCGCCCTCTATGGAGTCAGCCGACGGACACACGACCTCCGCGACGTTACCGGCGTCGTCGACGCGCACGACGTCGCCATCTGGTGGCAGGTCGACGTAGCCGTCGACGCGCGGCGCGTATCCACGCCGGAAGTGCAGCGGGATGTGGTCGGCGAGAAACTTGTGGATGGTGGCGCTGTAGCTGCAGTAGGGGCAGCGCAGCTGCTGCGATTCGCCGCCGCCGCCGCCGCCGCCATGACGCCTCCGCTCGTGGGTGGCCGTCACATCCTTGCGCGGGTTCGAGTACGGGCAGTGCGCGCAGCGGTACGGCTCCTCGTCGCGAGGGGGCGCCACCGGCGGCGGCGCGCGTCTCTCCTCCAGCTGCTGCGCCCTCGCCGCAAATTCCGCGAGCTGCAGCTGCGCGAGCGGGACGGGCATCGGCAGCGCCACCCGGTGGCCGTCGTCGTCGTCGTCGTCGGCGAGCGCCGCCGCGTCGGGCTCGGGGAAGTCGGGCCCGGGCGCGTAGCCGCCGGTGTGCCAGCGCTCGTGTCGTATCACGTGGCACTGCTGGCACGAGCTGTAGCTGCAGTACGAGCAGACGTAGCGCTGGTCGGAGCCGTGCAGCGCCACGTGGCGCCGCCACGTCGTCAGCTTCGAGAACGACGCCGGGCACTTGTCGCAGCGGTGGCGCTCGACCTTCGACATGCGCGCGAGGTCGGTCGCGCGCTGCGACGCCGGCGCCACCTTCGCCGCCGCCGCGCGCTGGTACGAGTGCACGGGGATCGGCTTGACCGGCGGCGCCTCCTGGACGGCGGCGACGGGCGGTCGCGGCCGCGAGCGCGCGCCGGCGGCGGCGTCCGCGTCTCCGTCTTCGAGCAGCGTGATCTCGCCCTCTCCGTAGTGGTCCTTCGCGAGGTGGTGTTCGAGATTCTTCTGGCCGCGGCACGTGTACGTGCAGTGCGGGCACGTCACGTAGCCATCGGCGATGGCGCCGCGCCGCGTGTGCAGCTTCTCGTGGATGCGGATGTGGCCCGGACGCATCGCCATGTGCGGGCAGTGCCGGCAGACCCAGATCTTCCGCACCTTCCCCGCGCGCTTCCCGTACGCCCACCGCATCCCGTCCAGCTCGCCGCCGCCGCGTTTCAGCACCGTCGTCGTGGAGGGCGCCACCGCCGCCGCCGGCGCGGCGACGTTCGGTTTCGGCGCGGCGGCGGCGACGGCGGTGTGCACGCGCTGGTGCTGCAGCATCAGGTGCCACCTGGTGGCCCAGTAGGTGCAGTGCGAGCAGCGGAGGATCTTCGGCGCGTGCGTCGGCGGCGGCCGGTGGAACTGCTTGTGGTGCAGCATGTGCGAGCGCGTCTGCGTGCTGTAGGGGCAGTTGTCGCAGCGATGCGTCGTCTTCCCCTGCGGCCCGCGCAGCATCTTCGACGGCGGCGCCAACGCCGCCTTCGCCGACTTCCCCGAGAATATCGTCACCGTCGTCGGCGGCGCGTCGCCGCCGCCGGCGCCCCCTTGCTTCTTCGCGAGGTGGAGGTAGCTGCTGCTGCCCCCGTCGCTCACCTGCGACGACTGCAGGTACTTCACCTGCTCGACGTAGCGCGGCTCGTGAACGCGCATGTGCATGTCCAGCTGGTACTGGTGGCGCGCAAAGTACGTGCACTGCGAGCACTGAACCTTCCAGCCCTCGATCGCGCTGTGCAGCCGGATGTGCCCCTGGATGTCCTTGTTCGTGTAGGCGACGTAAGGACAGTCGGCACAGAAGTAGTAGCTGCGCTTGTACGACCGATCCTCGCCCTGAAGCAGGATCCGCGTCGGCGCCACCTTCTGGCTGTCAGGCGGCGCCACCGTCGTCACGCTCGCCGGTTTCCCCGGCGACACGAACTCGACGGACGGCAGGTAGCGCTCCTTGAGCGGCTTCTTCGCGTCGGCGGCGCCGCCTGGCGGCGTGTGCACGAGGTACTCGTAGCGACCGTCGTGCTTGATGCGTAGGTGCCGCACGAGCAGGTTCTTGAACGCGGACGCGTAGCCGCACAGCGCGCAGCTGAACGGATGCTGCGCCGTGTGCGCGCTCGCGAGATGCTCGAGCACGACCGCCTTGTCGCGGTCGCGAAACTCGCAGCGCTTGCACTTCCAGAACGATCGCGGCTTCGCGCCGCCTCCCGCCGCCGCCGCCGCCGCCGCCGCCGCCGCCGCGTCCCGGAGGGCGGTGTGCGTGACCACGGGCTGGTGGGCGGCGGGAGGCGTTTGGGGCGCGGCGGCGGGGGCGGGCGGGGTCGCGACGCGCCGCCCATCCTCGAGCGCGTGCGCGGCATCGTGCGTCCCGCGGTTGCGCTGCCGCATGCGGATGTGCTTGAACACGTCGTGCCGCCACCTGGACCGGTAGAGGCACTCCGAGCAGGAGAATCGCCGCTCCTGCATCCCCTGCTCCTCCTCCTCCTCCGCCGCCGGCTTGCGCGACAGATCCAGCGGCTGCTCGCTGTCCGTGTAGGCGGCGGCGGCGGCGCGCGCCACGCTCTTACGCGCCGTGTTCTTCTTCTCCGCCTTCTCCGTCATCGGCGGCGGCGGCTGCGCAGCAGGGGAGAGTTGCTCGAAGATGATCGGTTCGGGGAAGACTTCCTTCGGGGCGACGACGACAATCTTCATCGCGGAGTGCGTCTCCTTCTTCCCGGGGAGGCGGCTGTGCTTCCAGACGTCGCAGCGCCAGTGCGAGCGGTAGCCGCACACCGAACACTTGAAGCGCTTCTCGCGCGAGTGCGAGAACATGTGCGCGCGCACCTTCGACGGCGAATCCGCCGCGTACTTACACAATGGACACTTGGCAACGATGCGCTGCTGCTGCGGGTCGTCCGAGGTCGCTGCCATCAGCTGCACTCGCAGCAGCGAGTGGCTCTTCGCGGCGGCGGCGGTCACCGGCGGGGGTTCCGTCTTCACCCTCCGCGTCGGCCACTTGATCTTCAGCAGGCCGCCGGGGATCCCCGCAGGTGGTTTCGCGGCGGCAGAGGGCGCCGGCAGCAGCGGCGGCGGCTGCGGGCGGGCGGCGTCCGGGCGCAGGCGGCCGACGTTGCGGTTCACCTTGCCGTGGAACTTGGCCATGTGCCGCGTGAGGTCGCCGTTCCAGCGCGTCTTGTAGCTGCAGTCCTCGCACTCGTACGGCTTCTCGCCCGTGTGCACGCGCACGTGCTTCAGCAGCTCCGACTCCCAGTTGGCCATGTAGCCGCACTCGGTGCACACGTGCTTGCCAAACTTACGCGCCATCAGCTCCTCCGCGCTCTTCTTCGCCGCCGTCGTCGACGACGACGACTCGTCCGACAGACGACGCTTGCTGCGGCGCGCGCCTGCCGCGTCGCCGTCGGCGGCGGCGACCGCTGCATCCCCCGCGCCGCTCATGTCGTTGAGAATCTCGCTGAGCACGGCCGAGTCCTCCTGGTCCATCACATCGCCGGGGGCAACCGTTGCTAGGGGCTCCCCGGCAACCGTCGCTACGGGCTCGTCCCCGTCGTCGTCGTCGTTGTCGTCTTCCGGCGGCTCGGATTTCACGGGTAGCTCCTGCGGGTCGTAGGGCAGCGTGTGGCTGTCGCTCATGCGCGTCCACGCCTTGCGGTGCTTCTTCTTGAGGTGGCGCCGCAAGTCGGACGCGTACTTGTACGTCGCCGCGCACACGTCGCAGCGGTGGCGATCGCTCGCCGAGCGGTGAGTCACGATGTGTCGATTGATGCTGCTCGGGAAGTAGGTGACAAACTCGCAGCGGCCGCAGCAGTACTTGCGCCGCGCGCCGCGCCCCTGCTGCGCGACCAGCGGCACCGCCCGGTCAAACACCCGCACCGTCTCGACGCCGCCCGCCGCCGGCGGCGCCCCCTTGCGGGCGTCGCTCGGCGGCGCGTCGCGGCGGCCGTGGTGGCGCAGCGTGTGCACGCGGATGCTCTTTTCGGCGTTCGTCGAGAAGACGCACTTGGTGCAGCGGTAGCGGCCGCTCGCGTTGTGCTGCTTCGCGTGGCGCTCGATGTTCCACTTGTAGTTGGTGCGGAAGTCGCAGTGCGGACAGAAGATGGTCTTGCTCGCGTGCACGACGCGCCGGTGTTTCTGCAGCGCCTTCTGCAGCCGCGTCGTGTACTGGCACTCGGGACAGCGGTAGAGCTTCGTGATGAGTGGCCCCTTCTTCACCGGAGCATCCGCGCCCTCCTCCTCCTCCTCCTTCTCTTCCTCAGCATCCTCAGCATCCTCGTCGACGACGAGCGCGCCCTCTTCTGCCGAGTCCTCCTCGTCGCGATTCTCCTCCTCCCCCTCCTCCGCCTCCGCAGCATCCTCCTCCTCAGCATCCTCCTCGGCGTCCTCGTTGCCGCGCGGCTTCGTCGTCGCGTAGTACGACACGTCCTTGCGGTGGATGAGGATGCTGTGTCGCTCCAGCTTCGAGCTGTGGATCGTCGCGTAGTCGCAGAGCTTGCACGGGTAGATGGGCAGCCGCGCGCCGTGCTCGTCCCGCATGTGGTACAGATGCTGGCTGGCCTTCGTCGTGCTGAAGCGACACTGCTTGCACGCGTACATGCGCGAGTACTGCCGGTGGTGCGTGTTGCCGTGTCGAAGCATGTCGAGCTCGCGCGCCGTCTCGTAGCGGCACGAGCGACACTGGTACGTCAGGCCGCCGCCGCCGCCGCCGAGCTCCTTGCCCGCGCCGTCGCCGCCGTCGCCGTTACTCACGGCGCCCTCTATCTCCTCCTCGACCTCCTCCTCCTCCTCGTCCTCGTCTTCTTCTTCTTCGTCGTCTTCGGCGACGATGTCTCCGTTCTCCAGCGGGGGCATCTCCTCAGCGGCGTCCGCGTTGCCGTGGCGACCGCCTCTGCCTAGGTTACTGTTCGCAGAACTCTTCACGTCGGCCATCTTACATGCTAGTGGCGGCTACCTGCAGACGAAAGAAGAAAAAAACACGTGAACATCCCGAGGAAATCTGTTGCGACAGTTTCCTTCCACATTGATCCTTACAAGATAATACATAGAACTATACGTGCAAATGTGAAAGACAATGTTTTATACAGCCATTTATCTGAGACATTACAGAAACGGATGTCCTGAGGATTGGACAATTTTAGATGACACATTTCTCAAGGCCTGAGAGTGCATTACGGTCTGCATGTACATAATTTGACATAGGGTGACACAATTTGGAATAGTTTTTTTTCACGTCCGTCTACCATTTGCTTTTAACATTATCACCAACAATGTCACTGTCACCATTATCACCACTATCATCACTAACATTATCATGACTGTCACCATGACTGTCACCATGACTGTCACCATCACCATCAACATCATCATCACTGTCACCATCACCATCAACATCATCATCATCACCATCACCATCAACAACATTAATATCACCGTGACCATCACCATCAACACCATCACATGCACACTCATGCATCACCATAAAAAAAACAACAGCGAGTCAATCAATCACCATCAACCATCACTGCACAGATCACCATCAACAACATTAATATCACCGTCACCATCACCGTCAAGCAACAATCATCATCATCACCATCATCTATCACTGTCACCAAACACAACCATCAACCTCATAATCACCATCACTAATTTCTCTATTAACATTAACATCACTATGCAGTCATCATTATATACTATCAGCTAATATCATCCTCATTGCGCATTACCATCACTATATCATTGTCACACACGACGCCGACATGATATATACATAGACGAATAGCATACAGCAACAGTGACAACAAAGCCCTCCTGTAACCTAACGTCTAGAAGCGCACCTAAAGAAATACCATAATCACTAATGTATTTATCGCGCGTTGGCTACGAGTTTGGTGACGGAGCTCGTCACCACGGCTGCGGCAGCCTGTGCCACAATCAACAACCATGTAAATATTTCAACGCTGCTCGCAGGCAATTCAAAGAAGCATTATTGACGATTGCCTCACAAAGCACGCTAACATAGATTCTTCATCAGTACCGCGACTCATATCAACATCATTGTATGGTCTAGACACAGTATATATGTATTTATATATATAGTATATTTGATATATATATTATCAGGAGATATTATATTATATTGTTACTATATTAACGCGGTGCGAGAATCTAACGTGAACATAACATTGTACTGTACATATAATATATTATCGAAGCGGTGTGATATTCCCGTTCTCTGCATCCAATGTTCCCAAACTGCGACCGACCGTCTGCCACTCTGCACAGATGAGAGCGGCTGCTGGCGCAGGCAGGCAGGCCAGAGCTATGGGCGCTCTCTACGGCGCTCTCTCCATCTCTGCCTCCATGCTACTTTCTCTTTACGTCTCTCTCTTCTTCTTCTCTCTCTCTCTCTCTCTCTCTCTCTCTCTCTCTCTCTCTCTCTCTCTCTCTCTCCTCCTCTCTCTCTCTCTCTCTCATGGAAGCCTACATATCTAGCCAGCCAGAACCGCACCGCACCCACGTCCACTGTACAAGGCAACTCCCAATCAGATAAGCACCCGAGAAGTCTAAGGTCCATTCGAATACGCGTGAGGAGCATGACCCCGTTTGATCCGGTTGCCTTCTAGAAGCTAGCCGGCCGAAAAATGTCAGCGTAAAAGAGACTCTAGAATGAGACTTTGAATTCCCCTTGTGAGGTTCTAATGACTCATTGACTGCAAGCTTGTTGTCGTTTTTGCTCCGTGTGCGCGATAGACCCATCCTGTTGCACTTGACTTTGGGTATCGCGACACTTCTAGAAAGAATTGAAGGTTGAGTCGGTTCTCTTTATGGCGTAGTTGAAGATCCGGCAAATTATGTGATAGTAACACTGCAGTTATGCAGTTTTTATCATGTTTTAATCACTATCTATTTACTCTTGTTTGATATCGGTGCAAAAGCTCTTAGCTTCTGTTAATAATGTTCATTATATACCGATGAAAATAAATTTTACTTGAACTTGGACTCTAAACTACTGAAGGGCTACACGAAACGCTTGCCTTAGTTCATTCCTTAGTTCATTGCCTTGGCCTTTGCCGAGATCACGGGAAAATTTCGCAGGCGGACACACCACGCACGCATCACCAAGCCAACAACCAGTCGACGCACCACTTCACGTATCTCTATTACACACACACACACACCGACTCCAAGCACGGCGTGTGACTGCGTGCATCCTCAATAACAATGACTTGCGAAATTCACCCCTGTGCGCATGCCCTGACCTGACCGGTTCTATACGAATTTAAGGTTCTCTCGTCATACCCTTACCTCTCTCGATTGCTTGCGCACGCTACATCCAAACACGACCATGGACGCGTGAAATACGAATACAGTCACGTCCTCGGCACCTCAGCAAGCAACAGACTCGCCCGTGTGTCACTGGATAATAGCCCTCCACTAAAGACTAGTTCCTCCTCCTAGCTAGCCAGCCAGTATAGTCAGTGAGACATCCCCCACCACGCCAACAGTAAGGAAGCTTTGTCGTCGTCGGCAGGCATACCTAGCTCTACACGGTCCGCTGCCTCTGCGGATCTCTCTCTAGCAAGACCACGGGCAGGTCAATGAATCATCAACGCTGTACGCAGGTGCTGCGATGGCGAGCAGAAAATTGAGGGGGGTGCAGGCGAGCGTGGGAAGAGCAGGCGACATCTGTTGCCTAGCCCGCTGCCTTGCCACGCCACGTCACGACAAGCGCTGCGGCCTCTCCCAAAGTCCGTCCCCCTCGTCTTCCTGTGCGAGCTAGCGTCTTGGGGGAAGGGGGAGAAGGGAACAGGAAAATCAAGAAGTTGCTCTTGTGTGAATGTCCCCACCTTACGGCTGTGTTTAGTGTGTGATTCAGGTCCACTCGGTCTACAATAGGCCAGCATGTTTCGCCAATATACATACATTATATATGCATATATTCTTCCTATATATATATATATATATTATAGGCGAGAGAGAGTAGAGAGAGAGAGATAGAGCGAGAGAAGAGAGAGAAGAGAGAGGAGAGCGAGGATATATATATATATATATATTATATAGAATAGACGATTCAATCAAAAGCCTTTGAGATGAAGTATATATATTTTCTTCTCACATTATACAAACAGTATATATATAGCTCCCGAATTATCGGAAGTCCCGGAGTCAAATACTCCGCTGATTTACTGTCGACTCCCTGAAAAATTCCTGCCATACCCTAAGCTATATTCGTTCCAGAGGATAAAAAGAGAAGGAGGTAGATATGAGGACGAAGGGCGGGTTATAGAAAAGTGGGAGTAGTAGACAGTGAGTGAGGTGGATATATAATAGGGGGCGCTGCGAAGCACGCTCGAGGAATTGCGCGTATTTTTTCAGGTCTTGATGTCCAAAAGAAAATTTGGCTAGACATGCAACGCGCAATGAATCTTAAAATAAGCAAGATGAAACTGATGTTTAATGCCACATATATGTTAATATTGTCTTGTAACAGTTTGAACCTCAGACATGCGAAAATCCCTCTTTTTAAGGGTAAGGAGTCCGTTGGGCCTCCCGTGTTGCAAAAGTTAATTCTAACCCTGTATATATATATATTATTATAATATATTATATATATAATATATATATATATATATATATAATACAGCACGAAATGAATACATTCTATTTGCAAGGCCTTGTTGATTAAACCAAAACAGCAATTACACAATTACATAACGCCGTAAATCGACACGTTCTTTGCTGCGGTTGTCCAACAACAACCCAGCGGGCTCATGCAAAACGAAGGGCAAATGGCGAACGCCGCGGCTATAAACACACTGCGCATTGCAGTACGCAAGCAGGCTAGCGTGATGCGCGCGACGGACGACGACAACCAGCACACCTTAATTGACGGCCATAAAACCAGCCGTCAGTATACAGAAAGCGACGGCCGCAGCAGCAACAGGCAGCAACAATAGCAGCAGCAGCAGGCCAGCAGGCAGCTAGTAGTAGTAGTAAGTAAGTAGTAAGTAGCAGGAGTAAGAATAATAGTAGGAATCCTAATATATTAAATATCGCTATTTATCTTACTCCTGGTAGTAGTGGTAGTAAGTAGTAGTAAAGTTAGTAGTAGTAGTAAGTAGTAGTAGCACAAGCAGTAGTTAGCAGCAGTAGTCAGTAGTAGTAGCAGAATAGAAAATAGACAAAAAAAGAAAAAAAAAAAAATTGAAGAAAGTCAGCAGCAGCAGCAAACAAGCAGGCAGCAGCAGAAGCAGCAGCAGCAAAGCAACAGCAGAGCAGCACCAGTAGCAAGGCAGCAACAACAGTCAACAGATACGTCAGCCGCCTGCAATCGCGCCTCCGCAAAGTAGCAGGCAGCAGCAGCAGCTTAGCCCAGAAATAAGCCTAACATCTAGCCGACCTCTACTCCCCGTGCAACAACCAGACAACGTCTCTGTGGCCTGGTTACAACAGTCTGCACGTCGAAAATCAATGAGAAATCGGACCGCAGTGGATCAGTAATGAGACGGGCATCGCCCGCCAATGGCACAGAGACAGGGCACCCTGTACTGCTACTACTACTAACAAGGTACTGCTGCTGCTGCTGCGCTCCGCACATCAGGTAGCCAGGCTTCTAAGGTGCAGGGGCAGAAACATCATTTACGGGCTAAGCGCTATACGGCGAGTCGATGCGACTGCGGCGATACACGCTCTCCCGTCGTGATCATTAAAGCCCTAGCCAACGCAGTCTCTCATCTTCTCATCCTCAACGCGCCTCCGACATAAACAAGATCCGCCTTGGCAGCACCGCAATCCCGCAAACGATCGCGAGCGGTCGCTGCATGCACTCGTACGCGACACTCACGCGTTTACTGCGATCGAAATACGTTGAATCGATGGATTCTTTAAACGCAAAGACCTTTGACATATAAAATATACTTGCCGCCCCCCGCACCACCCACCAACCTTCCATCCATCCATGATCCCAAGTTTGTAAGAACTCGACACCGATAAAGCCGGTGTCC